AGGAAGTTGGGATACACTAAGCCACTCTGGACTGGCTTGGTGGGGCAACTAATTCTCACCCAGAAAGCTGAGTGAAAAAACACCGCCGAGTCAGACACCTAGGTCCACCAGTGCCTGCCTCCTCCTCCTCCTCCTCTTCCTTCTCTTCCTCCACCACCTCCTCCTCCTCCTCCTCTTCTTCTTTTTAATGTATTTAGTACGTGGTCTATAGGGTGTCACTACACAGATCGGACTTGTAGTGATCCTCTTGTTTTCAGCCTTCCAAGCGTTGGGATTATAGGCACATACCACTATGCCCAGTCTCTAGATTTCTTTTCTTTTTTTTTTTTTCCCAGTCTCTAGATTTCTATTTTTACTTGTGGTTGGGGCAATTAGAATGGAAGTTTTATTAAAAATGTATTTGTTCTTAAAGAAAAAATACTTTTTTTGAGCTACAATTCACATACCATATAATCCATCTTCTTGAAATATGCAATTTGGTGGTTTGCAATACGTCCACAGAATTTTGTAACCTTTACCACATTCCATTTTAGAACCTTCTCATTGCCCCATAAAGCAACTCTGCACTCCTTAGCAGTTGTAGCTTCCTATTTCTCTTACCTCTTTCTCTACCTTCCTACCTTTAGCCCTAGGCAACCCCTACTTTACTTCGTGTTTCTATAGATTTGTTTATTCTGGAATTTCATATGAATGGAATCACATGAGACCTGTTAGGTCTGGCATTTTCCCCTTAGCACAGTGTTCATGGCCTATCCATGTTATAGCATGTCAGTACTGTACTTCCTTTCCCTTAATGGCCAAATGATATTCTCTTATGTGGCTGTGCCATGTTTTATTTATCCATTTATCATTTGAACAGTTGAGTTGTTTCCACTTTTGACCATTACCAGTAATCCTGCTGTGAACACTCATGTACATTTGTTGTGTGGAGTTGTCTTATTTCTCCTCGGTAGATACCCAGAGTAAGATTGCTGGGTCTCATAGTAGCTCTATGCATAACCTTTTGAAGAACTGCCCATTACCATTTGATATTGTTACCGACAGTACATATAGGTTCTCCATATCCTTAATAGTGCTTGTCTTCTTGGTCCTAGCCATCCTGCACTGCACTGTGGCTGGGTTGGCTCTGACACTGGTGTCCCATTGTGGTTTTGATTGTATTTCCCTAATAACTAATGATGTGGAGCATATTTTCATGTCCTTACTGGCTGGCTGTGAGTCTTTATTGGAGCAGTATCTATCCAAACCTTTCGCCCATTTTTAATTGGATTAGCTAATGTTTAATTAGCTGTATGCTTTCTTTGAATAGAGGTGTTTGAAAAAGTCCCTTTGTAGCCACAGAACCTTGGAATGGTGTCGAAGATGGGGATCAGTGGAAAGGTTGTGTGCTGATGTGTTGTGGGACTTGAAGGTTTCTTGCTCTGCTGCAGGGCCCAGCCAGTGATCAGGATGCAGGCCAGGCAGCTGCACTGCAGAACTCAAATGTCCAGGATATCCAGAAACGCATTTTGGGAGGTAGCCTCTTTCCTTTAATCACTTTCCCTTTTTGTGTGTATCTTTATTTATTTATTTTTTTGTGTATATCTTTATGGTGTTCACTTGTTTTTAGTTCTTCAGACCTGGGTTTATATGGGAATTGGGTAGGATGTGGTTGGGGCCAGACTTAAGACTGGCACCATGAGGGAGAGTGCTGTGAGGCTCTGACCAGCAGACCTGCGCTGCTCCAGCTGTGTTCTGCTGTTCTCTCCTCGAAGCCTGTGGTGTCAGCTTCTCTTGTCTGACATTGAGTTTCTCTGTAGTACGGCTTCAGTGTGTACCTCGGGTGGCTGCTCCCCTGAATTCTTGTGATCCGAGCCTTGTGTTCTGGCCATTTGCTGATTTCCACTTTACACTGTGCCCATCTGCTCAGTCTGACCATCCCTTCTGGCTGAGCCCAGCTTGCTTACTGTGCCTGTGTGTTCAGTGTACCCTGTCTTATGAGGTTCCACTCACTTTACTGTACCCAGGGGCAGGGGTAGAAGCAGCAAAGTGCCCCCACCTGCAGAGCAGCACTACTCCTGCATTACAGTAGCATGCTTCTCAGCAAAGAAATGGGTCTGTGCTCCCCCAAATGCTAGGAAACTGTGAGGAGGCCCTCCCTGCATTTTATAGGTTGAAAAGCTGAGACCTAGAGAGATAAAGTGATTGCTCAAGGCCATGGGGCAAGTGTGTGGCAGAACTGAAAGACACACCCAGATCTCCTCCACCTTTGCCTGTGAACCTATTTGGAGGACTGTTTGAAGGACTGTGGATTTGCCAGGTTTTTGTTCCTGAGTAGCGTTTTCTGCCTTCAGGTTTAGGTAAAGGCATGTACCACTTAGGCCAGAAGCAGAGACAGACTGCTTGCTTTGTGTATCCTTGAGCTTAGAATGAATTTTGAGTGCTGCTGCCTAGGAAAGGGAGTACATGTCATTTTGGCATGTGACAACTGACAGAGAGCACAATCAGAGTTGATCATCACTGGGGCTGCCACCTATCAACCCTGCTTTTGTAGTAGGGCACAGAGGTAAGAGCCAGGCTCCCCAGTTTAGTTCCCAGCTGTACCTCTTGGTAGTTGGGTGTATGGACAAATAACTGTTTTTGTTTTTGCACTAGGGATCAAACTCAGGACCTTGCATTTGCCAGGGAGGTGCTTTATGCTGCTGAGCTATATCCCCAGCTATAACTTAACATTCTTGAGTCTCCATTTCTCATTTGTAAAAGAGGATAATTGTCATATGGCTTCATGAGGTTGAATGTTAATAGTTAATAATGCAGAGTGGTTAGAGCAATGCCTGGCACTGAGTGGGAAGTAGGGTTGGATGCCATCATTGAGGGTACAGCGCATAAGTGTTCTTGTAGGATAACTTTTTTTTTTAATTTTATTTATTTGTGTGTGTGTGTGTGTGTGTGTGTGTGTGTGTGTGTGCGTGTGGCCAGCTCAGCCCACCAGGGGGCGGGGCTGGCTGGCATGTGGTGCTGGGGGATTGAACCACGGTCTCTGCGCTTTGCTAAGCTTGTTTTAAGTAGGTGCTTTAGACCACAGAGCCATCTCACCAGCCAAGGATGACTTTCTATAGAGATTGGATATTCATGATGCTCTATGGCCCTTAAATGTTATGGTATTTGGCTGTTATTTTATCTTTTTATTTGTGGCATGCAATACAAAGGTTTAAATAAAATGTTTTGGGTGCGCAGGGATACTTTTTATTTTTTCTGTTCTGAGAATGGAACCCAAGGCCTGCACATACTAGGCAAGTGCTCTGCCATGAGCTACATCACCAGCTTGGAGATATTTTAATGATCTTTGAAAAAGTGAAATTATTTTATTCCTATAGTTTAGAGGAATGGCTCAAAAGTTGTGTGTGTCTTTTTTTTAATGGATTCTAAACAGTACTCAAATTGAGCATAGTCAGGGCTAAAAGGAAAATTGAATGCTTATATTTTCTTTTTTTTTTTTTTTTTAA